AGCCCGATGCGGGACTCGATCCCGGGACTCCAGGATCATGACCTGAGCCGAAGGCAGTCGCTTAACCAACTGAGCCACCCAGGCGCCCCCTTCCATATTTTTAACTCTTCCAACTTTTTATACCCACCCCTTATCTTTTATCTTTCTTTTTTTAAAAAGAATTATTTATTTATTTGAGAGACAGAGTGTGTGTGAGCAGGGGAAGGGGCAAAAGGAGAGAGAGAGAGAGAGAGAATCCCAAGCAGACACCCTGCTGAGTGCAGAACCCAACACAGGGCCCGATCCCAGGACCCCAAGATCATGACCTGAGCCAAAACCAAGAGTCAGATGCTTAACTGACTCAGCCACCCAGGCATCCCTCTCTTTTGTCTTTTTAATTCATCCACTGTTTCCTTAATATGGGGAAGGAAAGTATCCTTTCCATTGCATAGGTGAGGAAATGGAAACCCAAAGAAGTTAAAGAACACATTTAGAGTCAGGCTCCCTGCTCAGTGGGGAGTCTGCTTGTCCCTCTCCCTCTGCCCCTCTCCCCCCTCATTCTCTCTCTCTAATAAATAAAATCTTTAAAAAGAAAAGGGGGGGGTGCCTGGGTGGTTTAGTCAGTTAAGCATCTGCCTTCAGCTCAGGTCATGATCTCAGGGTCCTGGGGTTGAGCCCCAAGCTCCCTGCTCAGCAGGGAGTCTGCTTCTCCCTCACTCTCTGTCCCTCCCCAGCCTCTCTCAAATAAATAAAATGTTTAAAACACACACATACACACACAAACAAAAAAACATTTGGCTTCTCCAGGTAGACTATGGTGGAATTAAATTCCTGATTCCCTGATTCTGAGTCCAGTAGACTTTCTACCACCTCACAATGCCTCACCTTCTATACTGGAGTACACAAAGTAATAGAGTCTGCATGTGGAGTTTAAAGAAAGAAACCGAAAGGATCCTTCTGGAAATGGCCATTTATAGTGGAGCAAGGAGTAATAAAAGGATAGGAAGAAAACGCTATTGAGACTAAAGAGAAGAACATGTATTCTACTTAATATCAAAAGACAGCAAGACTGGAAGGAGAGTGTAATTAGGGAATAAAATAAATAATACAAAAAAGAAAGTGGCTGGGCTCCGTGCCAACTGATAGCAAGGACAACTTTGCAGCTCTAATTTCTATCTCCATTTGAAAGTAAAATAATCTATCAACCTAAAACACAGTACTTTTTTTTTTTTTTAAAGATTTTATTTATTTGAGACAGAGAGAATGAGAGACAGAGAGCACGAGAGGGAAGAGGGCAGAGGGAGAAGCAGACCCCCTGCTGAGCAGGGAGCCCGATGCGGGACTCGATCCCGGGACTCCAGGATCATG